TAAAATCATATTAAATTAATAATAGTCACAAAATAATGATAAGACTGTATGTCAGTGAAAATGTAACTGAAATAATATCTATCAAAAATGAATGGGCTAGGGAGATGGCTCAGAAGAATAAGCACTTGCAAGGGCCTGAGTTCAATCCCCGGTTCTGCCAAAAAATAAAAATAAATAAAAATGCATAGTTATTTCTTTGTGTCAAGAGAAACAGGTGGTTAGAACAACAGTAAGTTTTTAGGATATTTTAAAGTTAAATATAAAAGACAAAGACTAGAGAGAAGTATATCAAAATGTTTACATCAGTTCACTATGTTGTTTGATTTTTACTTTTCTCTTGTATTTTTGTTTTTTATTCTCCCAAGAATCCTCCAAAGAAATTTTTTACTATCACACAATCAGACTGAAAAAACTCCACAAAGCCTTCATTTTTTAAAGAGATGATCATAGTCCAGTCAGGAGATAATTTCTGGAAGTTTTTCTATTAGAAGCAGATTTTTTTTTTACATTTTATTAGAGCACTAGTGTTGAAGCCAGAGAGAATGGCAGGGGAATTCTAATTGATTCAATGTCTGCGCCCAAAGACCATTCCTTAAAACTGGGTTGGTGGCTGCTGATTACTATTTTTGAGAGAAACAACTAGCAACATTTCTACACCATTCCATACCACGTCTTAATGTAGTGCCCATATGCTGAAAACAATTTAACTATAAAGAGACTCAAAGGAATTTATCAATATGCACTATGGAAGAGAAGACTAAGATCAATGTGTCTTTCTGGAATTCTTTCTGGACCATTGTGATCACCAACACAATATATGAAAGAATACTTTTGCACAAGGAATCGGTGGGCAGGCCTATTTTTGTAGTGGCAGTTTGTACCAATTTATGCATAGAAGCATCTTAAGGTATAACTCCATTCTTGCCCTCATTCACAAGACACTTGACTCAATAACACCAGTACTAATAAATAAAATGAAAAAAATTAAGGGAAATTGATTGAATCTTACCCGGATAATTCTACCAAATCAACCCAACTAACCTATACATGGAAGATATTGTCATATACCTAAACATAGAAAGCTGGAGCATAATAGAGACTATAGAACAGGATATATGTATAACTGCTTTTTTGTTTGTTGGCTAATAAATATTTGTGAGAAACAAATACAAAGTGGGCTTTTAGTGCAATACTTTTTCATGGTAATGAGATTTTTAAGTAGTCCAAACTATAACTATAAATCCCACCTCCCCCTCACTAATGGAAGTGACTAGTATTTATGAAACAGAAATCTTCCGACTCTAGAAAAATAAAAACTAATTCAAACCTCTGTACATCTTTCTTTTTCAGAACCAAGGATTGAACTCATGCCCTTATGCTTGCCAGGCAAGCACTTATTCCACTGAGCTATCTCCCCATCCCCCCTCTGTACATTTTTGATAGTCATATTCTTCTTTTTTCTCTTGGGTCACTTACCAATTTTTTCATCTTCCTGTACCATTTTCCTCTCTTCTCTGAAAGCCCTAAGCCAACGTATTTTCTCCTCCAACTTTTTGGCAAAGAACAGATGTACTTCTTCTGTCTCCTTGTTATGAAGCTTGAAAGCATTCTTCATGCTTACATTAAAGTCATCATCTCTGCCATCTTCAATATCAATTACCTCGTATTTATCCATGTCAATGCGGCCTTTGTAATAGAGGATGTCTCTTCGGATTAGGTCCTAGGTAAGAAGAAAGAGAAGGGTTAGTTTGTGGTGTGTGAAAAGTAGGTACTAGAAGAGCTAACATATGGGGTTAAACAGGACATTAACATTGTCATTCACTGACAAAGGTTCTACAATCTGAGGTACAGGATCTCAAGATAAATCCTGAGGGCATTTCACTGACCTTGTCAGACCAAAAAGATACAACTCTTGTTGCACAGGTCCTGCTTTACCTTGGTCTTAACCCTCCAGTAGAAAAGTATGAAGATGAAATATAGGAAGTAAAGCCATGTTGTTATGTTGAGCTGTGGGGGACTCAGGTCAATAATTTCTGACATTGCCAGTTAAACAGAAGACCCAATGATATTATGGGCTTCTGTACTCTTTTAGAATATTTTGCTGAGTTTACACACCTATAATATTCAACAACGGAACTTAAACAAATTGGGGTATAACTATGAATGTCCATTTTGTATCTGTGTATTCAAAGTGGTTGGGATAGATATATAGTTGCATTCTCTTAATGAATAGAATGATTTTTTCTAATGGTGTTTGTAAGTAGGATCACAAGTCTGCATCTTGTACAGCAATTAACCACTAGGAAGAATGTATGCAGTGTATTATTTGTTGAAACTGTACTTTCGATTTGATTTGAAACTGTCTCATTGCTATATGTTTATCAATAAAACTTTGAAAAGAAAAAAAAGAAAGAAAAAAAAAACATTGTCATTGCTTTGGTGTACACAAAGGGCTTGATAAGTTCTAAATTTAGGAAAATTAGATTAGGTGCCCTAAGAAAGATACCATGCTCTAAAGACTGCATCAAACACCAGAATCAATTATTGGGTGTGTTTACAAGACTTTTGAGGGGAAACAGGAAATACTATGCCATGAAAGTACTGGTATCAAGGGCTTTTCTCCTTCTATAATACTGGCAAATTTACAGAATCATGAAATAAAATGACTGGTAGTTTGGAATGTAACAAGAAAGCCAGTGAGACCATAGTATCAGAGGAGGGATTGAGTGTGACAGTAACCGAGAGGCCAAAGCTACAAGCCAAGGAAGATTAGGAGGGGTAATTCTAATACGTAGCACTTAGGATTTTTAGAATAGGCCTAGTGTGGCAAGCAAAATAAAACAGCGACAGGATAATACTTTAATAAAGATTTTTAATAAGATGATTACATATCAGCTTGGATGAATCTCACAAATATGAGAAAAAAAGCAAAATTATAAGTAGATAATATATATATATATATATATATATATATATATATATATATATATATCGCTATTGCTGTTCTGCTCGCATGTACACAGAAATGGATCTACCCAAACTCAAGTCAAGGAAAAATTCATCATTAATCCATAGATAGTGCCCTTTTTTTCTATCTACTTTATTCGCAATTTTAGTAATGTAAGAAAACTTGTAAACTCACTATTCAATCCAATTGTTAAGATGTCAAAGCTTCTTCCCTCTTAAATTTCATTTTATCATTCTCCTGGTTTGTTTTTGTATAGCTTTATCTCATTTACATCTATCTCACTTAAAACATATAAAACAATGGTATATCACGTTTAAGGATGCATATAGTGCACAGTAATTATAAAGGATTATTTGACACAGATGTGATATATTCAAAAGAATAGCATACAGAAAATGGGAAGTAGTAAGGAAGGCAAGGAAGAGAAGGAAAAGAGTGGGAAAAATGCATTTGGAATGAATTCTTAATTTAAACACTAAACACATGAGTGTGCATTGTATTTTTATATTCTCATGAATATCAAATACAATCTTTCATATTTCATAAGATACAAAAAATAAAGGTATATATAGAATGACATCAGGGCAGAGGTGAGGTAAGCTGTATCTTTTTTTTAATGTATTTAGTACAGGGTCTACAGAGTCTCACTACACAGATGAGATTTGTAATGATTCTTCTGTTTTGAGCTTCCCAAGCACTAGAATTACAGGCAAACATCACCACGCCCAGTCTCAATCCCCGTTCTCAGTGAGCCCCAGGGTGAGGGCTGACACGGCACACTGGGATGGAAAGTCCACAGCTGTGCTCTGCTAAGCACGTGCTTTAACCTACTTAGCTATCAAGCAGGCCCAGATAAAGCTAGTATCCCAGAGTGCTCTTAGTCCATCCTTCTCTTAGTACTTGCCTCCATCCTTCTTGGAGATGACATATACTGCTAAGAAGTGAAACGGTTGATAGTTTTCCCTGTGAGCTCTGTTCTGATACATGATATCATGGCAAATATGTTGCTTTCTAGTGAGCTCTCCTGCTTGCTTGTATTTGGGTTACCGGTCAGGCTTACAGAGTCACAAACAGTTACCTATTTTAATAACAAATGAAGCACAGTAACAATATATGTCAAAAATTGAAATTTAAAAAATATGTTCAAATGGTCCTGGAAAAACTCGTTTTCTACATGCTGAAAACTAAAACTAGACCAGGGTCTATCACCATGCACTAAACTAAAGTCAAAATGCTTTAAAGATCTGAACATTAAAAGAGAAACACTAAATCTGGAAAACAATGTAGATAGAAACCATCAATACATAAGGGTAGGCAAATATTTCATGAACAAAACTCAAACTGTATGGAAAATACTTAAAAGAATTAATAAATGAGAACTCCTCTTATTGAGAAGTTCCTTTACATCAAAAGAAATTACGAACAGAGTCAAAAGACAACCCACAAATTTTGAAACAACCGTAATTAATAATCACTTAGATGAAGGTATTCTATCTAGAATTTATTAAGAACTAAAAAACATTAGAGCTGCAACATTAAAATACCCAATCGAAAATGGGCATCCGAGATGAACACATAATTCTCAATGGAAGAAATACAAGAGGCAAATAAATACATCAAAAAATGCTTAAAATCACTAGTTAAGGAAATGTAAATTAAGACAACACTGATATAATATCTCTCCCCAGAAAAATTGCCTGTCATAAACATCAACTAAAAACAAATGTTGGAGAGACTGCGTGGAAAAAAAAAGAACAGTTCCTCACTGCTATTAAGAATGTAGACTGGTGCAACCATTATGAAAATCAGTGTGGAGACACATCATCAAGCTAAGACAGGAAATTCCATTCAATCCAGCTATCCCCCTCCTGGAAATCTTCCCAAAAGAACAGAAAATATCATATCAGAGCGATATATGTGCGCTTGTGTTTGTAGCAGCATAATTGGTGATAACCAAATATTGGAACCAACCAAAATACCCATCAACTGAGGAATGGATTAAATAGATGTGTTGTTAACATTAGCAAAGAAGTAGTAGAACTGAACCACAGATTGGAACAAAAGGACATAGTGGACATATACACAGTGTTGCACCAAACTACAACTGAATACACATTTTTTACAGCTTCAATAGGTTATTTTCCAAAATAGACCACATGCTAGTCCATAGGTCATGCTCAAGTATATGCAAGAAAACAGAAATTATCCCATGCATATTACCTCATCACACTGCCATGAAACTGGAAATAAACGACAAAGAAACCAGAAAAACCCCATAAGAACATTGAAATCAAACAACACCCTACTCAGCAATCAATAGGTCACAAATAAAATTAAACAAGAAATTCACCAATATCTACAATTCAGTGAAAATTCAAGCACAACTTATCAGAGTTTATGGGATGAGATGTAAGCAGTTTTTAGAGGGAAATTTATAGCTGTGAACACACACATTAGGAAAACAGAATGGGAACAAATAAATACCTGAAAGTTGCACCTCCAACATCTAGAAAAGGGAGAGCAACTGAAAGCCAAAGCCTTAAGTCAGGAAGAAATCATAAAAATTACAGCAGAAATTAACTCAATTAAGACAAAGAAAACAATTTGAAAAATAAATGAATGAAAAATCTGGTTCTTTGAAGCATTAAATAAATTGATAACGCCCTAGCTAACCTCATCAAAAAGAGGAAAGAAAAGAAATCAAACACAAGCAATAAGGAATGAAAAGGGTATAACTACCACAGACCCAGTAGAAATTCAGAAGATTATCAAGAGTTACTTTGAGAATCATTATTCCCTCAGAATAAAAGACACAGAAGAAATGGACAGATTCCTACACAGTAACAAATTATCAAATGAATCAAGAAGATATAACTCTCAGTAACCCAATAACAGGCAATGAAATACAAGATGTAATAAAAAAAAAACATACCGTCAAATAAAGTCCAGGTCCTGATGGATTCACAGCTGAATTCTACAAGAAATTTACAAAAAATATTATCCCTATTCTCCTCAAACACTTTAATGAAGTTGTAAAGGAAGAAATCCTTCCAAAATCCTTCTTAACACAACTATTATGCTGATAACAAAAGCAGGGAAAGACACAACTAAAAAAGAGAACTACAGACCAATCTCCCTCATGAACATAGAAGCAAAAACCCTCAATAAAGTCCTAGCAAATATAATATAGGAAAGCATCAATATTATACACCATGACCAGGTAGGAGTCATCCCAGCTATGCAAGGATGATTCAATATATGTAAATCTATAAATGTAATAAACTGTATCAAGAGAGCCAAATCCAAAAAACCACATGATCATCTCAATGGATGTAGAAAACACTTTTGACAAAGCCCAACACACAATCATGTTCAAAGTCCTACAGAAAATTGGAATAGATGGCCTCTACTTCAATGTAAGAAAAGACATGTATGACAACCCATAGGCTAACATAATTCTAAATGGGGAAAAATTGCAATCTTTTACTCTCAGCTCTGGAACTATATAAGGATGTCCTCTATCATCATTGCTATTCAATAGAGTTCTGGAATCATTAGCTAGATCCACTAGATAAGAGAGAGGCATGAAAGGAATAAGAATAAAGAAAAAGTTAAATTATCATTATTTGCAGAAGACATGATACTTTACTTGGAAGACCCAAAAGGATCTAACAAGAAACTACTAAAATGGATACACAAATTCAGTAGCATAGCAAGATACACAGTCAATACCCAAAAGTCAATAGCATTCA